TTTATTTACATGTATGAATTCAGCAGACACTTCTGTAACAGAGGAGAACTGAGTCTGTGATTCCAGTGGGACATGAACCCCCGACCTTCTGTGTGTAAAGCCTGCAAAACATCCAAAAATATCAGCCATTATCTTGGATTAGGGATTAGGGATTAGTGCTGTGAAAAATCTGGTCGTCCACTAATCGCAATGAAACGGTGAAAAATAAGTTGGGCTCAAACAAACAAACAAACAAAAAAAGACTCGCATTCAGAGACTAAGTGGAATTGAACCCTAACCCTTTTGAGGCATAGTTGCCCATGTCTGTGTTACAGCCATTGGTTTTCTAACACAGACATGGGCAACTATGCCCTCAATAGATGGCATAAAAAATGATAAAAGCATTTTAGCCTTTGACTTTTACATGACATTTATCTTCGTCGTCTATCTGCTCCTGACAAAAAAGTTTGCCCACGGCTGCTCTTATCAATAACTAATGCAAATACTGTAAATAAAAAAAAAAAACAATTTGATGAACATCAGAATTTCTTTAAAAAAAGTAAAATTCTAATTTTTTTTTCAATTTTACAAATATTGATCCTAGAAAATAAAATGCTGAAAATGACTAGATGAAAAATCTGAATTAATTAATAAATCAATTTTAAATCAATAAACATAACTGTAACCTCAAAATATATTTAACAATTTTAAATATATATATACAGTATATATTTTTTTAATTTCAGAACCACTGTTCTAATGTTACCATGGAGGGAAAACGGAGTTTGATGTATATATTATTACTGATAATAAAAACTGATAATAAAAACAAAATCACATGAAAATGATTCATTCTTTCACACGCGTGAAACTATTTACATACATGTTTTTTTTTTGTTTTTCCTCATTATATTTGACATTAAACTGCTTAAATGTACACAACCGTTTCTCCTCCGTGTACCTTTTGTCAGAACAGCATCAGTATGCAACTCAGGCTCCCCAGATGTCACCCAGTGTTCCTCACCCAGGGACTTCCACCTGCTAACGTGAACACATCACCGCACACAGCGCCGCCGTCAGCACTTCTCACAGTACAAGCGTCTCACGAGGGACGCCTCATTTGCACGGCGCATGAACGACAACGCAATTTATAGCCTTTTAAAAAACTAGAGTAGAAAAAGAAAAAAAAAATGGTTGATGTTTCTCAGCTTCTTTGCAGTACTGTGGCAGAGTACTAACACGACAGATACTACTACAGATACTAGTCTCCTCACTGGGATACTCAGCAGTACAGCCTGACTGCTGAGGCTAAAGAAGTACTGCATCCTCACCTGCAGCGGGGGGAGGAGGAGGAGGAGGAGGAGGAGGAGGAGGAGGAGGAGGAAGAAGGAAGTGTAGGAAGACTTAAGCAACAAGTGGAGCGACTGTCATCACAGCCAGCACATGTATTTACTCCGTGTCACTCTGTGTGTGTGTGTGTGTGTGTGTGTGTCACACTGCCTCCACAGTAACACAGCGTGACAGTGACACATGCACGTACACATACACACAAACAGACAGAGAGGGATGAGATGAGAGGGGGAGGAGGCCAGCTCTCCCGTCCTCACCCACACTCACTCTCATGGTGTCACAACATGAAGCAGCCACCGGTGGGAGATGTGATGCCAAAATTAAATACTCAAAGTCCAAAACTGACGAGCAGTGACACACACACACACACATAAGGTTACGGCAAATGTCACGGCAAAAATATATATATTTAGTTTTACAACTGTGGCGTTGTTATCCACGAAAAACAATTTAAAAATATTTCTGTTGTCGTAAATGAGTCTTGTGTTTACTGTGGACACTCTTTAGCCTTGACCTTTAAACAATGCCTAATTAATCCTAACAGTAACATTGAGCCAAGATCTAACACCAGCCTTAACCCCTAACCCCTGTAGAAAAATAAAATAAAATAATTTATAAATATCTAATAATTAAAAATCTATATTAATGAAATAACAATCTAAATTAAAAAAAATATTATAAAATAAAAAATAAATAAATGAATAATATATGTATAATTAAAAAAATAAAAAATACATACAGGATATTCACAAACCCCCTAATCCTTAGCCTAACTACCAAGGGTTAAAATAGTCTGAGTAACCGTAACCAAACCCTATATAAAAAAAAATAAAAAATGATAAAATACAACAATACATTAAAATTAAAAATAAGAAAATTAAATTAAAATAAAAAATATGTAAATAAATAAAAGTCATGAAGCTACCTGCCTCACAGACGTATGAGAATCTGTGGACTTTTCATATATATGTGTCACCTACCATACTGTACATACAGCTCATATATTTACACATATATTTGTCAAAACTCTTCCCATCAACGTCCCAACGGACAATGCAGTTAGACGGACAGAGCTCAGGTGACCGGGCCTGATCCATCATAGCAGAGCTCACAGTTTATTTTGAACACTGCCTATAAAACACTCACTCACCTGTTGCCCAGTGTTTTCTCTTCCTGGTCCTGTGGCTTGAAGAACCACTTCCCAATCCGCACAAAGCCCTTGTCCATCAAACATCTAAAGTGGAGGAGAAAAAAAAAAATCAATAAAAGTTTACCACCTTAATACTCAACCGTGTATCTGTATACTGCATTGTTTCCAAAAGACTGGATCGCGACCCTCAGGTGGGTCACAAGAGGTTTTTTTGGGGTCGTCTCGCATCATGTTTCCAAGGAGTTTACGAATAATGTCTGTTGACTTGGGTCGTGAAGGTTTGTGACTTTTAAAAATATGGGCCGCCAGAAAAAAAGTTTGGGAAACACTGAATAGTGTATATCACCCTTGAACACCAGGGGTCCCCAAAATGTTTTGTACCAAGGACCAGTCGACCGGTATCAGCCGTTACTGCGGACTGATAATACCGCACCATTGTTGAAGGATCGTTAACTTTTCCATATCAAACCTCTTTCAGACTTTCTCCTGTCAGTATCAGAGTCTGAATGACCTTTGACCTGTTGTTCTGAAACATTGACAGATTATCTTTGAATGAAAACAGTAAAGGGATATGACTGGATTATTCTGGAATGAAGTACATTAGTAAAACTGAAGTAGATTTTTTTCACTGTGTCTCACTGTGGCCTGGTACAAACTGACCTACGGACCGGCACCGGTCCCTGGACCAGAGGTTGGGAACCCCTGGTGCAGGGGTTGTGTAATCCCTGATTTACACAATGCCGCTAAAACATACATCAAATTCAGTCAACCCTGTTATTATATTCCACTGTATATATTTATTTATTCTGTACATGATTTTTCTTTGTAGTTGTTTTTGAATTTTACTCTGTGTACATTATTCTTCCTCCTTCCGTAGGGACAGAAGTAAAAACACAAGTTGTATTTTTTTGTATTTATGTACTTCAAAAAAATTCACAACAAAATCTGAACCTTCACCCTTTATTCTACTTTGACGAATTACTGTTATTATTATTAGGCAAGTTCTAAGACATCTGCCCCACAGTGGTGTGGAAATCAAACTTCTCCACTGACTGTGTCCTTTAATCTGATTGAAAATTTGACGACTTCACAACGTTCCCTCTCTCTCTCTCTCTCTGACTCCGTCTCTCTCTCCGTTCTCCACCTCGGCACACGGTGACAGGTTACACTCTTCTCTGCCACACAGAGACGTCCCCGTCAGATCTGAGAACCGGGTCAAAGGAATTAAACAAACGGTGTGAAGAACATCTCTGCTCTCTGTCAGACTGAAGATCTCCAGCGCTCTCAGCCTCCAGCTCTTCATCTTCAGCGTGGAGAGAGCTTCTTATCGCTGGATCTCTTTCTTCTCTGCCCACGTTACAAAGATTCCCATGTCAGATCGGCGTACGGCGTTATCACGCCATCGCGGTGTTAACACTGCATTAAACATCAGTATCAGTGCGATCGGTGCAGAAACAGAAACGCCAACGGAGACACAGGCAGAGCCTCAGGTTGAGAATCACGCTGTTATAATTTGACTTCTACTTCACTCTGTGGTAGAAACGACCAATCAGCAGCTAGCTCGTTTACACCTGAGCTCCTGGAAATGAAACCGAAAGTCAAAGAGATTTTAAGACAAACACATCTGCCTTAACCACAGAAGGTTCAAGCCCCAGAGGAACCACATATCCCCAATGGCGCCCCCTGTGTAGCCAGTGGGGGTTGCAAAGGCTCACATTGTGAATTTTCCCATTGTGGGACGAATAAGAGACTCAATTATTATTATTTGATTATATATTTTGATCAATTTTGGCTTCTTTCTTGTCTGGACTTGAGCTTTTTGCTGGTGATTGATCAGCTATGAGGTTTTTTTTTTGTGCTCTTATTTATTTATTTTTTTATCTTTTCGTTACCTTTGAGTAACTCTAGGCTAAACTGGAACTTTTTCCCCAGTATTTTGTTTTAAGGTCAACCTTCATTTACTCATCTTTTTTTCTGACTAATTTGAACACATTTCAAGACTAAATTGTAGCCACAGTTGTTCAAACCTTAGTATCACCTATTCCTAAGTCCTTGAAAACATTTTTTTTGTCCTAAAGCCTTAAGTTTGACAGGTTTATTGATCTCTGTGTTGTTTTATTTAGTCATCCATACTGCGCTCTCTGTTTTATCGGGAGGACTGGTACAAACATAACATAATTACTTCAAATAACAATAAGTACATGTTTATTCCCCATTTGTTTTCCTGCAAATAAGTACAAGTATATGAAAAAATACTCATATTTCATGAAATATAATTCCGCGAAACATCACAAAAGTGAAGTCTTTGCGCCTTTTTTACACTTTGAAATTTGTCAAGCGGGCCAGATTGAACCCCTTAGCGGGCAAGTTTTGGCCCGTGAACCGTATGTTTGGCACCCCTGATGTACAGTATCTTACAGTATCGTATAGTTATACACAGCCTGATGTACAGTATCTTACAGTATCGTATACACAGCCATGGACTGAGTACTACATTTGACATTATCAGGTGCGTGAAAGCGAGTTCTACGTCCAGACAAACGGTGGTGTTGACAGCTGAACAGAGTGCGACTCCATTTGACTCCATTTGTCCTGAACATGAAGTCATCACATTGAGAGGCAGTGAAAAATGACCTCATCTTCTAATGTACCTACACTGAGACTTCAATGCAAAGACTACGATATATTTTCTGACGCCATTCTCTTTATTTTTGTCCCTAAAATTCACATCGAGAGATTTTGTGTCTCCTATGAACTTTTGAACGTGAACGTATTCACAGCAGCTCGTTCTTTCATTAAGGAACGCAGGCCGAGAGCGCGGCCACTTTTACCTGTGTGACACAAAAGAAGAAAAGTGCGAGTGAACCCTGCTGTGGTGAAATGTGAGGTATAAAAGGAGTTAGCTTCAAGGTAATCAGAAGGTTAATTCAGGCTGCCCCCTATGATGATCACTGATGCTTAACTTAATAGAGAGCAAATATGTGCTGCTTCATTTAACAGATGGCTCTGACTCAGGAAGGAGAGCTTTGGCTACTTAAGCAAGTGATTCACTACTCAGGTTATAATTTCATTAAGGTGATGCTGGTGGAAGGAAGCCGGAGCTGCCTATCAATTACTATTAACTTCATCTGCTTTGTGAATGATGATCGTTTTAGCACAAAGCATCAGTCTAATTCCTGCGTGAAGCCGCTCTCAAATGCATAAAAGACACAACGTCTTCCAGGAAGTGTTCCGTGGAGAGCTGCACAGGAAACTGCAAATGTCTACATATATTTTTAGTAGTTTTTTTTGTTTGTTTGTTTTTGCAGCTAAACTGAAATGTACAGATAACGACCGTACAAACCCTGGTGGCAGTTTCGTCCAATTAGCATAACTGAAAAAGTAAAGATCCATTTTCTCTTCACGTGGCTCTGAGCACTTCGCTTGATTGAAAGACAAATTTGCTGCATTCAAACAAATGTATTTAGTGCAGAGGCTTTGGAAATGATGATGGAAAAAAAATGACTCCGATGTTTATTCAAAATACTGCATCAAATATCTAAGGCTTTGCCAGAGGAGTATGAAAACAGTACTATTTGTGTAGTAATACTGCGAAACACACCTGCTTTTAGATAAGGCAAAAGAAACAAAACACTAATCTAAATACCTAAAAGTCAAGACAAAAATATATGCAGGTAGCTAAAAAAAATAAAATAAAGCAGTATTTTTCAACCTTGGGGTCACAACCCCATGTGGGGTCGCCTGAAATTCAAATGAGGTGACCAGAAATGTCTAGTGATTAATAATAAAAAAAAGGACATTACTGATAAAAAATATTTTACTAATATTTACTAACTAGTATTCTAAACTGTATCCCTGATAAAAGTAATAATGTAGTATTAGTAATATACAGTACATGTAGTACATTCACAGAGAGTGAGTAGTTTTACCTGATTCATGTATAAAATATACAGCTATAATATTATACCAAACTTTACAGAGAATTTTATGTTCAAGTTTATCTGTTCATTTAAAAGTGTAAAATGAATTCTATTCTGTCGATGTAAAAGGAGTTAAAGTTTAACCTGGGGTGAAAAAATAATTCACTAGGAAAAAAAAAATCCTCTTTCCAGTGAAATGATGCAAAACCTGACAAAAGTCAGCACATTACTCCTCATCAAACATTCATTCCATTACTATGTAACTCCGCCTGTGATGTAACAGCCCTTCATGTTGTGTGTCGTGCACTTCCTGACTGCAGTTCTGACTGTGTTACTAATGAAGTGCAGTTGGAGGATTTTTTTTTTTTACCTCTCCAGCAGGTTGTGGATGGCCTTGAACAGCAGAGTTCTGCACTCGTAGGACAGTCCGCACTCCCACAGTCCCTCCTCAGCCACTGGAAGACAGTAAAACAGAATCCATCAGCTCCTGATATTTCATCATTAGTTATTTACTGTGAAAACATCTCCGTGCAGCAGCGCTGGGATAATAAACAACACATAAATCAGCAGCATGTGTTTATGGCTCACTGTAAAACCTCAGTGCATGTGCTGATGAGGATACCTGCACATCACAGATCAGAGTGTGTGTGTGTGTGTGTGTGTGTGTGTGTGTGTGTGTGTGTGTGTGTGTGTGTACAGTATATGGAGGCTGCCTGTCTGTACAGCTGTCAGCCTGGCTGCAGCAGCGGTCCAGTCTAACCCTCTGCAGTTGTCAGGCTCATTTAGTTGGAGAATGAAAGTACTGTATGTCTGCAGCCTCACACACACACACACACACACACACACACACAGGCACAGATGTGCATGTGTGTTCAGTAGGGACGATACACTCTACTCACACCATCAATATGGGTCACATGTTTTCTCCCGTTTACGTCATGAATTTCAAATCACGATTTTATTTAAACAAAATGAGCTCCAGACAAAGTCTGACCAAAGACTTATTTGTAACCATATATCAAATCAAATCAAATCTAATCTAATCTAATCTAATCTAATCTAACCTAATATAATCTAACCTAATCTGATATAACCTAATCTAAACTAATCTAATTTAACCTAAAGTAATCTAACCCTAATCTAAACTATTCTAATTTAATCTAAAATAATCTAAACTAACCTAACCCAATCTAATCTAATATAATCTAACCTAATCTAATCTAATCTAATCTAAACTAATCTAAACTAATTTAACCTAACCTGAACTAATCAAATCTAAACTAATCTAATCTAATCTAAACTAATCTAATCCAATCTAACCTAACATAATCTAAAATAATCTAATCTAATCCAATCCAATCCAATCCAATCTAATCCAATCTGATCTGATCTGATCTGATGATCCTGGAATTGAAACTAAACCGTGGATTACCATGGAAAAAAGTCAGATCTCAACAGAACTGGAACTGAACACCAAGACCTGATCAGTTCAATGCTCCCTCTGCTGGATTATCTACTGAAACCATTAGTGTAAATGATCAAAGGCCTGAACTCAATATTTATATTTGAATGAAATAAAAATACAATTCTGTCTTCTGTCAGGGAGACTTTAACCGACAACCTCTGACTCATCATCTCTGTGTGTGTGTGTGTGTGTCAGCGTGTTGTGAAACACTCCTGGTTTTCTTTTACCCTGTTACCCTTTAACCTCCCACCAACCTAACATTACTCATCTCAAACAAAAACACGGTGCAGCCTGTTCACAGCGGCCGTCTGTGTGTTGCCACAGCCCTGCAGGGCTCCTGGAAGAACTGGATGACTGTGGGTGGCTGTTTGCTTATAGGGTGGTGGCAAACAAACCAGGCATCACAGAAATACACAAGAAATAAAAAAGAAAGAAAGAAGGAAAGAGCGTGAGTGGCTGACGCCTGGGGGAGGGGCGGGATGTGGGTTTGTGCTTTCTTCCTTTCTCTTCTTCTTCTTCTTCTGTTTTTTCTCCCTGATTTTCTTTGTTGTTGTTTTTTTCACTTTCCCTTCCTCTGATTGGCTGCTTTCTTATGTTTCTCTCCTGCTTTCTTCTTCTTCTTCTTCTTCTTCTTCTTCTTCTTCTTGAACCCTCAGTGAATGTAATTTCCTTACTCGCCAGAATTACCCTGTAACCATGGAAACTCTGGCGGTGAGAACATGGCGCTCTGGTATTCAATTTCAACACTGCTCCCTCCTCTCCTCCTGCCCCCCCTTCCCTCCCTCTCTCCCCTCTCTTCCCTCCCTCTCCTCCTTCCTCTGTTCTAACGCTACCACCACCTACAACACTCCCCCACCCCTCATTTACTCCTGCTTCAGGGCTCAGACAGGAAGCTCGCTCCAGCCAGCTCTTCTGCAGAGCAGAGAGGGAGGAGGAGGAAGAGGAGGAGGGGGGGGGACACCAGCAGAATGCTAAGTCTCCGGCAAATCCAGCTCATTAACTCTCACACTGTCTCAACATCTTCCTTTCTCTCTCCTGCTCATGAAAAAACACCAAAAAAAAACAACTTTTTTTTCTCTCATTCTTCCCCCAGTCTGCCAAAACCTCCACAGCCCGTCTTCATTTGCCCTCCTCACGACCGGCTCCCCGACGGGCCCCCGACCCCCATTACCCCAAAAACTGTGACACTGACTCTTTGCCTCGTCTCCAGCTCCTCCAACACTTCAAAACAAATCACCGTTAACAACAAGCGGACGTGACATTGCGGTGTAAATCACATGTCGTGAATGTATATTTATGTGAAGAGTGATGGTTCGAATCCCTTCTTCTGTTACATCTTCACTGATGTGTTTCCAAATACAGTATGATCCCATGAAGATGCAATGAAAAATAATGGAGACGTTCAACTTAAAATGAAGGCATTTAAAGACTAGGTTTATGAAATTATTATTAAATTGTCAAAAATATTGAGTTAACTTCTTACCCATTCTGTCATCAATATGTCAACTTATACTCCCGCTAATATATAATATACATTTGTACGTCTGCTAACGATCACCTTAACTGTCATGAGAAAAAAAATCATCCAATCTCCAGAAGTTTGTGTACAGGACTTCCCAGGATCCATATTTATATACAATCGTTGTCCCACAGAATCATACATATAAATATATGCATGTTTAGTTATATATTTATGTGTAAAATATATTTAATGAATATTTTTTTAAGAATGCACGTTGTACCCCATTAAAGACCCATTATATATATATATATATATATATATAATACTTACACATATATGCACATATATGTATATATGTATACGCATATTTAGGGTCTTTAAAAACAATTAATTTTGCAGTACATTTATTTTAAAAGTACTGCTAAATGAATAAATATGCAGTACCATTTGACCTAACACAATACACTACTTTTAAACAGGAGTACTCCCTTTAATCCAATATAAAACCAAAGTTATTTACCACCGCTAGGACGATGACATTTCATCAAACTTCCAGTGCGGAGCCACAGTCCTAACACTGTAACAGCCGGAGCCGCAGCCCACCTGAGAAACACCCAGCTGTAGTTTTCTACTTCAGTCATCATCAAAGTGATGATTCAGACTAGTTAGACAGTACTGCAGTTCTTCAGGAAGTCCACTTCCTGAAGAGAGATATAAAAAAAAATCAAAAGTCCATGTGAAAGAGATCAATATTTTTCTCCATTTTTGTGTTCCTGTGGGAGCTGCAGCAATCTTAGCCCCGCCCCCTAATGCTCTTAAGGCCAGAACTGATGAACACCCAGCCTATCATGTGAGCCCAAAAAACGACATATATGAAAGATAAAAAAAACTGCCGCTACATATGAATTCATTTGAATAGTTAAGTATTGAATGCAGAATAAAACACAATATTAAAATCTGCACAAAGGTAGAGGTCGTCGGTTCAAAAACCCAGTGTCAAAAATGATCTATTTGTTGAACACAGTCACAGAGCTGAACAGCGACAAAGGCGACAATTCCCACATATTCTTTCTTTTTCAATTCCCAAATGCGATCTTAAAGCTCCAATAATGTCTCGTAAATTCCAGCAGTGCTAAAATAAACATAGTTGAGAAACAGCGTCCACATCAGGTGCCACACTTTATATCATACTTGTACAAGTGCCAGCTCACTGCAGCATATAAACACAAGGTGTGACAAATCACCCGTGCAAGAAAAGAAGGTCAGACACACACACACACACACACACTTTTACGCAGCCACACACATGTATAATAAATATAGAAAGCAGTGTGCGCAGAATGCTTTGATCTGATATATTAAAACGGCGACACCCGCAGGGATGTGGGAGGCGTATGCAGGAAGAAAACACCATGAAAGTGTCATTCCACCAGCAGTCAGTCAGAAATAAAAACACTTGGACTTTTTACCGTCTGTTAATCAGAGGAGGATCACAGATGGCCCCGGGGACACGCCTGCTGGAGACACTAAATGCACAGTTAAGTGCAGTAAGGCTTTAAACCCAACCCCTGATCCATTGTTGGTCCCTGTCTGCGCTGCAGGGAACTGCATCAAACCTGAGAGACAGAAGCGTGGAAGGAACTCAGTCTTTGTCTTTGTTGAGTTGAAGTGAAGCCTCAGCGTCTCATCGCAACGATGAGATTTTTATTGAAATCCCCTTTATACTTGAGTTCTCTGTCACAACGTACTGAGAGAGAAAATACACGGGTTCAACGGTTTGATGAAGTAAATTGAATTAATTTCTGTATGTAACTCAATCCAAGGACATGGAAGTCTATCCTCCAGAGACAACAGTAAACACCGTACTGTGGGACCCATTGTTCACTGACACCATTTTTTTAACCAGGGTTTCCCAATCCGTGGTCCGGGGACCAGTGCCCGTCCGTAGGTCATTTAGTACCGGGCCTCAGTGGGACATAGTGAAAAAAATGTACTTCAGTTTTCAGTCATTCAGCGGGCCTCAGTGGAACATAGTGAAAAAATTGTACTTCAGTTTTCAGTCATTCAAAGTCTGAATCTAACAGAAGAAAGTCTAAAAGATGTTTTATTTTGAAATGTAATGACCCTTCAACGATGGCGAGCAGTAACGGCTGATATCGGCCGACGGGGATGTGGTACGAAAAAGGTTGGGGGCCCCTGGTGTATAAACAGTCAAAACTAAAAATCAAAATTTGAGTAATTACAAACGGCATCATTGTAAGCGGCAAACTTTGTAAAAAATGCCATCATTAACGTCGGTTGACAAAACCATAATATAAGAATCTGGAGAAACTCAAACTGGATTTAATTAGAATAATTAATTTGAATAATTAAATGTCTGTTTCACTATTAAGAATAGCCTTATTATTAAGGACATGTTACTGTAATTTCAGACATTTCTTTCCAACTTTAAGGCTGAAACATTAACAACATTAAGTCACAGTGCTTTTTTGTTGTAAAACTGTCGTGTCCTTTCAAAATAAAACAAC